CAAGCAGACAAAAATCAGTGGAAAAGAACCAGCTTTTCCAAATCTACTACAGGAGGCTGAGAGTGTTGGATAAGATTCCTGTCAAGGACCTAATGGCCTTAATGAGCTCAGCAATGTAAAACAACTAGGCACAGAATGCACAAGTAATTCCTTTTTCCTGGTGTCAGAATGTAACAGCATTATAGCTGAGCTGTGGCTGGATTAACTGATTCAGAGTGATTCCTGTTGAGCAATTGTCTTCTCTAAAAAACACCGGTGCAATCTGCTAGCAACTGTCACTTTATATCACGTATGAATTATGCTGTATAATGGGTTCAGGTGCTTATATAAATTGACTGTCATAAAATCCTTTGTGTGATAATGCAACGAAATCATCTCATTCAGACAATGAAAACAAAGGAGCAGGGCAGTGACAAGAGAATCAAGATGATAACCTCCACACTGCTGACAAGAAAGCAATGGCTAAAAACTACTACTAATTTATTGTTCACTCAGCTCAGTAATTAGCAACCCCCAAAAAATTTTATGAAGATATTATAAGAAAAGACATGATAGAAAACTCTCATGTGCTATTGGTGTGAATTGATTACAACCAATTGTCAATGTTTATCAAAATATGTATCAAGATGGAGTATTGTATATACCCTTTAACCCACTAGTTTCCACTTTTAGGAATTTACCCAAAGTTGATAATACCACAGGCACAGAAAGTTATATGCACAAGATTTTTCACTACAGCATTGTTTAGAGTAGTAAAAATTGTGAAACAATGTAAATGTTTATAACAAAGGGTTGTGTATAAGACATGTATATAATGATATTATGAAAACATTCAAAATGATTAATATCTATAAATTTATTGACATGGAAAGATGTCCAATACTGACTGCAAATAAAATTTATAAAACAGTATAAATAGTTATGCTACATTTATGTAAAATAACATGCATACATCTACGTGTGTATATAAAATAGAGAAATGTCTGAAAGAATGTTCATTAAAAGTTTAATAATAATAGTTTTCTTAATGGCAGAATCTAGGATGATTTTTACTTTCTTTATTGTGCTTTTCCATGTGGCTTGAATTTTTACAAGAAACATTCAGCAATTTTACAAAAATAGTAAAGCTATTTAAAAAGAAAAGAATATGATAGGAAACTATATGTGAGTACAAATGAGGCTGAGGAATTTGAAAGGGTTCTGATGATTATACCTCTGTTCAGAGATGATGATAATAATGATGATGGGTGAATTGCATAATAGTCTCATATGATAACAAAAACATTAATTTACAATTTATTGAAAGTGGCAATATGTGCTCAGCACCATAAAAACAATAGTAATAAGTGGAGTTGAAACTGAAATTAAATAAACGAGCACAAAAGCACTTGCGAGCAGATCACATTGGGGAGATTAAGGCCATTTTTGTGAGGGAAATAACACAGGACATCTGAGCACTGCAGAGCACTGAGCACGATTTAACACAATTTAGGAGAGTTTATCTTGGCCTAGGAAAAGCTTTCTAGAGGAAATGAATGTGAGAGGTGAATTTAAAAGTGTGAGGCAGACAGCCTGCTGGAGAGGAAGTCAAATAGTATATTTCACAGAGCCCAAAGGAAGGAAGAAGAATATTTTTGCCTCGGGATTTCCAAAAAAATAAATGTGAAATGCGTCTCTATTCTGTGGTTTCTGCCAGAGTCTGCAGCCGGGCTCTGTCAGGCAGTCATACTTCCTTTAAGATGCCTTGGCAGGTTCAGAAAAATCACATAAGATGCTCCTTTGGGAAGCCCGTGTTATCTCTCTTCTGACCACAAAGATATTACTGAATGCACAGCCGAAGAACTAAAGGAATGTTTTGCATCACAGTGTAACAGTCTTACAAGGAAGCTCAGTCTGTATGGATTTTAATGGTGTTGTTTTGAGACATCAAGCAATTCTCCCCCAGATAATCCTCAGCCAATTCTCAGCTAGAACGTGAAATGTCTTTAAACAGTCATTTCTTTTTGTTCATGTTATTGCATCTCTGGACAAGGGTCAACAAAATAGCTCTTAACAGCCAGTACTGATGTATTATGAGTATAGTTTCCATTATCAGAAACTAGAATATCCAAAGACTGGATATAATTAAGATTTCTTCATGGAGTTGGATAATAATAGCCAATCCTTTGGGTGCTACCTGGCTAGGCCTGTCGGGGAACTATAATGGCAGGTAGGCAGGTACAACCAAGACTGTTCTTATAAAATACATAATGTTTTAATACAGAAAACATAGTTTTTAATTTAGTATGTATATAAGCAAGTTTGTTCAAACGTAAAAAATAAACAACCTACATTAGCAACTCATAACTGGGTACAATGCTCATCACGGTTTGTAGGTGTTTATTTTGTATATTATTATAGTTGATTATTTATTCTCTAGCTTCTCCTCCAGTTAATAAGTTCCCTGAGGGTTAGATCACTTCCGTTTTGCTCACCTCTGTACTCACAGCAGTACCTGGCCCAATGCCTGGCACACAGTAAATGTTCAATAATATTCAATGAGTCATAGCAGAATAAATGGAACCCTAGGCAAAGACCAAACACTCAGGGAGCAGAGGGAGTTGAAAGAAAGAATTTGGTGGAAAGAGAGGTCCCAAAGTGGAATAACCAATTTTGTCTTGAGTTCGAACTACTTTATAGAAATCTCTATCATCCTGATCTTTTAAAGATTATGGTGACTTTTTCTTCCTGTATTCCTTCTGGTTTTTTATGGTATGCAGCTTTGAGACAACAATTAAACTTCTCCTCCAAAAAGCCCAGTGGATTAAATTTACAGAGTAGAATTCTAAATAGCCAAGGTTAAAGAAAATATGAGTCTATTCAACAATGGTAGTTCTTAACTTTCCTTTTAGATTTGTATTAGCTGTGTATAATTAAAAATGTATAGGGCCAGCCAAGTAGCTCAGTTGGTTAAGAGCTCACTCAAGAGTGCAAGCTCTGAGCAACAACGGTTCGAGTCCCGCCCGAGCTGAGCTGCTGCTGAGCTGCCAACATGTGGCAGGATGTCTCAGCTAAAACAAACAAACAAATATATATATATATATATATATATATATATATATATATATATATATATATTCCTCTTTCTTTTCTAACTCTCTACCTTCAAATTTTATTACATTAAATATTTAACATTTTATTTTCTGTATCTCAATAATGTAGATATCAAATTTTTGTGCACTTTGAGTCTTTGATCGGTACCAGAAAATAATTATTCCTACCTAGTATACCTTTATTTCCTGCAATGTTATCTGTAAAATGATGCAGGGGTGGTAAGGTAGCTACAGAAGTGTTATCCTTGTCGTTAGAAACCACTCCCCAAAATACAAAGATCCATTTACTTAGCGAGTATTTACTGAGTGCCTGTTATGTGCTGGGACCTGGCTCCTGGCACTGAAAACACAGCTGGGCACTAAACAAAGTCCCTGAGAGTTAACATCCCAATCTGCTTGGAGCTCATTTTCTCAGGGTTGAGGTTTATTTCATATATGTTAAAATATGAAAAATACAGCAATCTCTTAAGTATAGTACAATTGGGGTTTATTTACATTTCCCAATTCAGAGATTAAAACAATAAAACAAGCCCCTGTAATCAGCATTACACACCTAAGCTGTTAGTCATCGTGCTCTGGACAGGAGTCACATTTTTTTAACCCAAAGAAGGATGAGAGCAGCATTTGTAGTTCATCTCCACAACCTCTTAGCAGAGGGTGACTCATGGTGCCCTGTTTCCAAAGCCCATTGTGGAGAAGATGCTGCCAATATTATAGCTCTCAAGGATGCTGTCAGTGGGAGAAACGGAGACCCAGGTAACCGTCCCTCTTTTAAATTCCTCACCTTTACCTGCCAGGTTTATCCTGAGGTCTGTAAAATTGTGAAAAAAGAGCAAATTTTTCTAAGTTTCTCTTATCTGCCCCCTATTCCCACTCATAGCTTTCAACTGGAAAATGGGACTGAAATTAGAAGTACTATCTTACATAGATCCTTTATATTTATGACTTCAATCACCTTAATCCCTGATGTCTAGGTTTGAGTTTTACCAGAAGCAGACCCTAAGGAAAGGCAGGGAGTTGAAGTGGTTTATCTGGGAGGTGATCCCAGGAAACACGGGTAAGGGAGTGAGGAAGTGAGATAGGAAAGGGAGCAGTCAGTGAGTTCTCACTCCCGCTGGTGTGGTGGACTCCTGAGTTAGCCGCCCTGGCGCCCTGATGCTCTGATGGGTGAGGGAGCTAAGATTCCAGCCCTGTGGGCACAGGCCTGCCCTTCCTCACGACAGAAAGTGGGGTCTACTTCTCTCCTCAGACCAGGGCTCACTAGTGACTTGCTTTTATCAGAAGGTGGCACAAGTGAGGCTGGGCAAGGTCTGGAATCGTAAGAGACCCAGAAACCTCCACTTTCACACTCCCTGAGGAATCCAACTGCCATCCTGTAAAGAATCTAGGCTCATCTACTAAATAATGAGACACATGTGGAGAGAAAGAGGCCACTTAGAGGAGTATGCAAGTGCCAGCCATGTGACGGAGGCCTTCTTGGGCCTTGCAGCCCTCTAGCTGCCAGCTGAAGGCAAGTGAGCGAGGATTCCCAGGCCACAAAGAACTGAAGGCTGCCCAGCACTAAGCCCTGCCTGCATTTCTAACCTAGAGAATCATGAAAAATAATTTTTTTTAAAAAAAATTGTTGTTTTACAAAAAGGCTGCTATTCATTTAGGAAGCAGAGCTATCTGATACACCAGGTAGCTCACTGGTTGAGAGTTGCTCCCATGGGGTGTTAATTTCCTGGCACTTCCGGCCAGTTTCACAGGTGAGCAAAAACGGCCTAACTACTCAGAGGACGCCTCAGGAAAGGAAATGCAGGTTCTCTGGCCTGTAGATGTTGGATTCCTGTGTGCTGAGGTGGCAAAGGCACAGGAATGTGAGTGGGACACCAGCAGCCTCTGTTATACCTGGGCACTCTCACTTACCTGATATCGAGGCCTTCTGACAACCCGGCCAGGTCTTTTACCTGTCCTCTGAATCCGGAGGTCTGTTCTTCTGTTGACAAAGCTTTGTCCTTCCAGTTGGCCAACTGTGATGTATGTTCCAAGGCAAATTCTTGCTTCCCCAGAGATTAAAATCTGCCTTTTCCATACACCTGATCCCTTGAAGCTTCTAAGTGGCCCAGTTTCTTTCCTGAAACATTTAAAATTTCTGTGCCAATATTTCTGTGGAGAGAGAGAGAGAGAGAGAAGAGAGAGAAAGAGAGAGAGAGAGAGAGAGAGAGAGAGAGAGAGAGAGAGAGAGAGCAAAGCAACGAATTCCAAAGAAAAGAATATAGTCTTTTTTTTCAAGTCCAAAGTCTAAAAAGATATAGGAGTCAATCAAGAAACAAGTTAGCATCCAACAACATTATGAAGATAAAATCATTTTACAAATGTGCTATCTTAGTAGATAAGACTAATGCTCCATCTAACATACAATGCTTGTTATTTTCCTTGTTTTTCTTTTGTGGAGATGAGGTCACCCAGAGGACCCAGCTTCTCCTTTCGTTGCCCTGGTAATCAAAAGCATGTAATTAAAAGCTGGCTGGTGACAGCAGTGAATGTGGTTCTGTGACCCAAGAACAATTTTTTCCTAAGCAAAACTCATTAGATCACATTAAATTCACAATAGGTTTCAATTCACAAAGTGCACACTGGAATGATCATAAGCAGAGGGCTTTAACCAGAGAACTCCCCAACAGGACAGAGAAGATTTAAGACCTGTGTTTTTGTTTGTTTGGTTGGTTGTTGTTTTTTAAATGTGAGGAACCCAAGTAGAGGTTGGGTTTTTTTGCATTTATGCAGAACAGGAATGGGGACTCCCTGCAGAAGGGCCTGGTATGTAAGGTTGGTGGCTGGGAGGGGAGAGAAAGGAGAGACGGTTAGCTCAATAAGCCTGCACTAGAAATGCCTTCCTGCTGGATTACGTTCTCGTCTAGCTCATCAAGCCAAGTCACAGTTCATTTAGTATTTTCTGTCACCTAAACAGCTGGCCCAGGTCACTGGGCCAAAAGGCAGGAGATCTGTGATTTTTTTTTTAATGCTCTGAAATGACTTGTTCATTCACTCTGTCACTGAGACAATAACCACACATCTTTTTTTTTTTTTAATAAAATTATGGAGAAAAAGAAGCTTTGTAAATTCTACATACCTTGTAAGAAGTAGACCCAAACTTTTCTATCTTGGCTAGGTTTTAAAGCTTCTCCCTAAGCCTCCTCCGAGATGCTCTGAGAACTAGAGCCTTAAAGCAGCCCCTGGAGTTTTTGCCCCTCTCCAGGCGTTTGTCTAGAGGGCAGAAAATGAGGCTGGCGTGTGGGCAGAGCAGATGCGGCAGCCTGCTCTCTCTAAGCCCAGGCAGCTGGAAGTAAACCTTCCCAGGGCGATGTTGGAGTGTTCATGAAGTCAGCAGTGAGGAAGCCTCATACCCTCCCTGGGAATGAACCTGCTCTACTCTGAGCAAGTTATTTAAATTCTTTCAGCCTCCATATTGGCGCCTGAATCAAGAGGACACTACTATTACTTGTTTTGCAGATGTGTTGTCAAAGTGTTTTGCACGCTGGCTGTGACATTGCCAACACTCACTGAATGCTAGCTGCTATTGTTATCTTTAGCAGCTTGTGCAGGCAGTGTGGGGGATTCCTGACATGGTGTGCTTTTGGAGGTACCCGGAAATTTCTCCACACACAGATTTTCCCAGTCTGCTCTTCTCAATGCCTGAAGTCCTTTATTAGAGAACTTCTGTGGTTCTTCAGAATTGTTCTTTATTAAAAATGCAACTTAGCAGCTCCAGAAGTACCTTGTAATGCTTCCCCACCCCCATGAACATATTGTGTTCTAAGACACACCCCACCCTGAGCTGAGTTTCCTGGGTTCCTCAGGATACATACACTTCACCATTAGGGTGTGTGTCCAAGCTCAGTTTTGGTGGGGCAGCAACGTCCCTGTGTATACTGGGGCATAAGCATCATGTAATGCCAAGGTGCTTCCTAAATCCTAACCTGTGCTTCCAAGAACAAGGCTTCAGGAGCTCTAAGTGTCTGCTGAAATTAGATGCAAAATTGTCTTGGTGAATTTGTATTCTTTGGGGGCTAGAAGAACCATAGCTTTGATTGGGTCTCAACGGGCTCTATAATTAAAGAACTACTGTAATAGAGACAGCTACCTGGAACCAGTCCTCCCCAGCCTCTTTCAAGTATAGTGTATTTGCTGGGAGCCTGAAGAGATCTTGGAGTGTATTCCAGCTGTGGGGATGGGGATGGGGATGAGTGGACAGTCAGATAAGCCCAAGGGCCCTGGGTGCTCTGGTGTGTCAGTGTGAGAGTATACAGGGCTAGGAGCCAAGCCCAACCCTGTTGATTCACAACTTGCTTCTGGAAGCTGCCCTGGGGTGAGCATGCAAATAGAGGTTCCAGTAACTTTCTCAGCAAAGGAAGGGCCTGGCCTGGGATGAGAGTGAAGCTCACTCAGGGCTCCAAGCCCCCTGTGTAGCCCCAGGTCTAAAAGGGGCTGAGTTCTAGGTGAGGGAATTAAACTCAAAACTTTTTAAGTTTCTTTCAATTCTAAAATAAAATCGTTCTAATGATCCTTACATTTTCCTCATTGATTATTTTTCCTTCATTAAGTACTTCTTCCTGCCTGAATCTTCTATAATTTGGAGATAGCGTTGCCAGGTAAAATACAAGACTCCCTGTTAAATGTGAATTCCATAAAAATAGTAATTTTTTAGGGCATGTATGTCCCAAATACTGAATGGGATATATATATTTTTTTCACACACACCTATATGTAATACAATTTTTATTCACTGTTTACCTGAAATTCACAAATTCACATTTAACTGGGATTCCTGAATTTTTATTTGCTAAATTGGGCTGAAATGTGTCCTCCCAAAATTCATATTGTTAAAGTTCTAACCGCCATTACCTCAGAATGTGACCTTATTTGGAGGTAGGGTTTTTTAAAGAGATAATTAAGTTAAAATGAGGTCACTGATGTGGCCCTAATCGAATGTGACTGGTGTTCTTATAAAAAGAGGATATTAGGACGCAGACATGTACAAAGGGAAGACCATGTGAGGACACAGGGAGAAGGTGGCTGTCTACAAGCCAAGAAAGGACCTCAGAAGAAACTTACACTGCCAACACCTTGATCTTGGACTTCCAGCATCAGAAAACAAATTTTTGTTGTTTAAGCCCCCCAGTCTGTGGCATTTGTTATGGCAGCCCTAGCAGACTGATACATCTGGCAACCATATTTGAAGAGCACTTTAAGTAAAAGAACACAGAAATACAAATACAGAATTAAGAACAAATGTGAAGATTTATTAGAATGAGAAAAGAGATCACAGAGCGTTGAAATTGCCAGAGCCTTGAAAGTTTGAGTCCCTTTCTTCAGAGACCCATTTAGGCAATTGGAGCACCCTACAGCTTTTAGAACTCACAGAGACCCCCTCAAGTGAGAGGCTGTCAAGCCTAAACTTTATGAGTATCATGGCCAGTTTAAATCTACTGGGATGTTTACATCTTTTCTAAAGCCTTCTTTGTTTATTTCCTGGTTTCATTTGGTTTTCATAGCAGTCTCTCAAATGACACAATTGGGTATTTTTGTAACTGTCTCTTTGTCCTTTATTTTTCATTCTCTTCTCTCTCTTCTAGGGATTTTGCTTTTAGCCCTTCAATTTCATGTAAAAATAGGTCTTAAATAATATTTATAAAAAACAGTATAAGCTATTGAAATTAGTACTATTCTAGAAATGCCCTATGATTATTTTATTATATGGGCAACTTGAATAACTCTATTTTATACATTTCATGAAGTCTGAAAAGAGAAACAAGGAATTATATAATTTTCTTTCACATAAAGAACACAGATGTATATGTATATATTTAATATATTTCTAAATGCTACATGGAATTATCCTAAAGCCCAACTAATTACACCAACTTGATTGACCAATAGGAAATCAGTCAAATTAGACAAAATTGTTCTGTCATAACTATGCATAAAAATTCTTTGTGGATTAAATATATGTGTATTTAAAATATCACATATGATGGGTCCATGGAAGGCATTTTTTTTTTCATTTTGAATTTAAACCACTAGGTTCAATTTATTTTTACTGAGAGAAGATATTTGAGGGCATTAATACATAGATTTTACATTAGTGTAGCTGGCAATGTTTTGACCTTGATAGCCTTAAATCTCTTCCTGTTAGGACTGGAAATTGACCTAAGATGATAGGAAATAAAAAGAATAAAAGTCATGCACTGCGTAATGACTTTTTGGTAAATGATAGACCATATATACGATGGTGGTCCCATAAGATTATAATGGAGCTGAAAAATGCCTATCACCTAGTGACACGATAGCCATCTTAATGTAGCACAACACATAACACATGTGTTTGTGGTGATGCTGGTGTAAATACACCTACTGCATTGCCAGTGGTATAAAAGTATAGTACGTGCAAATCTGTACAATACATAATACTTGATAATTATAATAAATGACTATGTTACTAGTTTATGTATTTATTATACTATATGTACTTTTTATCATTATTATAAAATGCAGTCTTTCTATTTATAGTTTTAAAAGTTTACTGTGAAACAGCATGCTGTGTTATACCGGGCAGTAGCCTAATACATCTCCTGTCTACCATCTCTTGATTGTATCACTTTCTCTTGTGTTTGATTTAATGTCATGCTGTTGTACAGTAACATGCTGCACAGTCTCCTAGCCTAAGAGCAATAGGCTACACAATACAGCCTAGGTGTGAAGTAGGCTCTACCACCTAGGTTTGTGTAAGTACATTCTGTGATGTTTGCACAATGACAAAATTGCCTGACAACACATTCCTCAGAACATATCTCTGTTAAGCAGCACATAACTGTATTATAAAAGTATAATGATTATAAAAGAAAATAAAAGTAATTTAAGATGGATGATACAGGCATTGGGGGAGGAAGAAGAATGCAGAACAAGATAAGCAGAGTGAAACATGGATGAAATATCAAGAAATGAAATCTATTTAGCAATTTTTGAAAAGTGGCCTGTAGTAAGTTGTGTAGTGTATTAATGGGTATACAATGGTGATTGAATA